CTCCTCTTTCGTCCTACTCTACCCAAGGCCCCTGGGTCTAGGACCACTCCCCACGGCCAGCTCACGGCGGGAGAAGAGCTACATTAATACCGAAGAAGGGGTGGCATAGAAGCATTCAGGAACGGATGCCAAAGAGGGAGAAATAAAAATGTGAACTGGCAAAAATTTAAAACAATTCAATGTAGAAAAGATGTGGAGACTCTGGGAAGAGTGCAGAGAAGAGCAAGAAAGAGGATTAGGGGACTGGAGACTAAAACATACGAAGAACGGTTGCAGGAACTGGGTAGGTCCGGTTTCATGAAAAGAAGGACCAGGGGAGACATGATAGCAGTCTTCCAATATCTCAGGGGTTGCCCCAAAGAAGAGGGAGTCAAGCTATTCTCCAGGGCACCTGAGGGCAGGACAAGAATCAAGGGTGGAAACTCATCAAGGAGAGAAGCAACTCAGAACTAAGGAGAAATTTCCTGACAGTCAGAACAATTAATCAGTGGAACAGCTTGCCATCAGAAGTCGTAAATGCTCGAACACTGGAAGTTTTAAAGAAGATGTTGGATAGCCATTTGTCTGAAACGGTATAGGGTTTCCTGCCTAGGCAGGGGGTTGGACTAGAAGACCTCCAAGGTCCCTTCCAACTCTGTTGTTCCCCTCTGTCCAGAGAACAAGCCAAGAAAGAACTCGGTTTAGCCCAGCAAAAGATTTGCAAAGACACACACACAAAAACCAGGATATAGTACAGCCCCAAAGCAAAATCTTCGCATATTAGAAGAACCAACTCATCCTTATGATGTTTTAGAAAACACCGGATCTCAAAAGTGTTTTCGACATCTGTCTCTCGCCTCCTGGGAGAGCAGCGTGGGGAAAATATTTGCTCTGGGCCTGGATAGAAAACGCAGCTTTGGCTAACGAAATTGACACCCATATGCTGGCTGGCGCATGGTCATAAACGAATCGAAGAAGCTAAGCCGCAAGCAAAATCAGCCAAGGTTAAAAAACCTTCACCAAGGGTGGGACGCAAACGCAGCCTAGAAATATTGGTTTGTTTGTTTTTCCTTTCCCCATCGTGCCCGAGGTATTTTAATTCCGCTCTGGGCAAATGTCAATTCCGTGTCCTTTCCCCCCCCCCCCCAGTTGCTGAAACAGGTCACAATCAGCAGAAGGGTGGTTCTGCCAGGCTGCCAATCGCGCTCTCTTGCTCCACATTCTGCAAATCTGTCGTGGCACGATCGGGAACAGGCCGAGCGACATTCACAACCCCCCACCCCCACCCCGTGTGTTCAGATCCAGCCAGACCGGTCTCTGCCGGTCAAACCCGATGGCGCACATGATAACTGCATGGCATCACGGCTCCTTACGGGTCTCGTGTCATTCCTGGTGCACCGAGGACGCCCCGGGGTGCGGTTTCTCTCCTCCCAAATTCCTCAGCAATCTTGTCCTGTAACATCATTTCACCTCTGCGGGCTTGTCAGCTTTTCGTTCACAGGCTAGGCTGCGCGCGACTTCATTTCACAGGGGTTGGGGTTTTTTTTTTTTTAGGTTTCTCAAAAGCTCTCCGGAAGTTAAAAGAAAAAGAAAAAAAAGACATTGGCAGATCAAAGTCAGAAGCACAGATGCTGCACCTGGCAACCACAGGGAACACATTCCCACACACTGCTGGCATTGTCTCAACACGCCTTTTAACGGCCGCCCCCTCCTTCTGTCGCCTTAAACAACATGCCATCGGAACCGTTAAGATGCTCAGCCCAGGGAGGGAGGGGAGACCTGCGCGCGACTGCGAAATTCACAGCCAGATCAAGGACGGGCCTCAACCTGCAGCCACGGCGAAAGCAAAAGGGCTTTTTTAAAAAAAAATTTAGACGCGTTGCAAAGGCAGAGAAACAAATCCAGACAGACAAGCCAGAAAAAAAAAGGGGGGGGGGATTTTCTAACGCAAGACACTGCAGGCTGGGAATGAACTGGTGGGCGTATAAATGCCGAAAGCATCCTCTAAAGCGTTGATGAAGCCCGGATAGAAATAGACACGACAGTTTTCCAGAGCACCCAGAAATGCCAAGAACGGTTAAGAGATCTGAAATGAGACCGCAGGCAACTCGAGCGCTAAAAAAAATTAAAAAAATAATAAGGCTTAAGGAACAAGACATTTACTGCAGGGGAAAAGCGAAGATTAGCCAAGGAATTGTGAAATTATTCCCCGTGGGGTTCCTCTATTCAACAAGCAGGCAGTCAAAATCACCTCCAGGCCACTCACCCCATTAAAAGGACTTGGCCAAACCCTGAACCAGCAGCAAATCCCACTGGGCATGAATGTCTCGTCATTTGCCTGGTGGAACTGCATAGCTTCAGTCACGAGAGAGGGGAGACTCAGCCAAAAAGTGGGAAAGGGCTTCTTAAAAAAAAAAGTGGTCTGTGAAAGGACCTCCCCCCCACCCAAAATCTACCACGAAAAGAAAGAACAGAGAAGGAGCCACATCCACTCTTCAGCTACTCCCGGGCTCAGATTGATGAACACCCCATAACATCCACGGAGACATGTTGGGCTTCCAACTCCTGACAAGCACTAATGCCCAAGAAAGAGATATGGATGAAGCTGTTGACGAAGGGGGAGACCAGCCAGGTTGTGGGGAGGGGGGGGAAAGAAAGGGAGATGCAGTAAACGGATGGATAAGAGAGAAAGATGAGTGAGATAGGTAGATATGATGGATAATATATATTTTTTTCTTCCGGGTCTTCCGGGATTGGGTGGCCTATAAATTCAATAAATGGAAATGGATAGAATGGACAGATGGATAGATACCAGTAGGATAGATAGGTACATAGAATAGAGACAGGAGACATGGGTTCAAAGATGGTGATATAGAAATGGGAACAGATGGTGGGTGGATAGAATGGAGAGAGAGAGAGAGAGATGTATAGATAGGATAGATTTATACATAGATAGAGATAGGGGTATATGGATAGATGGATAGATAAGAGATAAATATTGCAGGTAAAGAAGATAGATGACAGAATAGATGTTTATAGATAGAAGACACAGAAACAGAAAGATGCTGATAAATAAACATAACTAGATATATAGAAAGATGAAAGCTATAGACCAATATAAGAGAGACCTACAGAGATAATAGATAAAATGAAAAGATAAAAGAGATTAGCTTAGATGATGGATAAACAGAGATGGCTGGATAGATGATAGATAAATGATTGGTAGGTAGAGAGGTATGTTGGTAGAAAAGTAGATGATAGGTAGATATATAGGTAAACAGGTAAGTAAATAATTATAGGTAGGTACAGAATAACAGTTGGAAGGGAGCTTGGATGGATGGATGGATGAATAGGTAGTTGGGTAGGTAGATGATAGGTAGATACAAAATAAGTTGGGACCTTGGAGTTATAGACAGACGATGAGGTAGATAAAATGGATGGATGGATAGATGGGTAGCTAGAGCTGGATGGATAAACATAGATGATGGATAAATAGAGGGATAGAGACACAGATAGTGGTAGAGATATAGACAGACAATGAAGTAGATAGATAAAATGGATAGATGGATGGATAGATGAAAGAAGGGAGAGGGAGGGAGGTAGATATAGATGACAGCTTTAGATTGATAGACAGATGANTGTTGACAAGAGGAATGGCTGTGTTTATTGTTTAATGTTATATGGCCCCGGTTGTGTACAGTATATGTGTGACTGTACGAAAATGAAAATGGAAAATAAAAACACATTTACAAGAAGACTTAATGTAATTTAAGACCTAACAAATATAATTGCAGAATTTCTTCCTGAAAATCACAAACACTGAGTGGGCCACACATAATAATTTTATCTTAAAAGATCTGATGCACATTAATATTTGCAAGATCTGCAGTTACCAATGATGCTGATTCAGAAAGATTTTTTTAGTACAATAAAATTAAGTGCATTAAGAGAAGTGATTATTGTCCAACAACTCCCAGTCTAGTTTAGAAATTTCTCTTTTAGTAAGACTTGTAAAATCAATTATTGCTAAATAGGAAACAATAAAACCAATAGAGAAAGGAATTAAAAAGTGACACATGTTCCATAGGGAATATACTTATGCAGTGAAGCAAAACAGATTAAAACCAGGCAGAAAATGATTATGTGGGAAAATCTTCTCCTAGCATTATCAAATGATGCTTTAGTTGAATAATTAGAATGTCTATAAATCTTACTTCAAAGCCCAGAAGAATGTTTTAATATTTTTTATTAGGATCAAAGTTAATCTTGTATATGTATATTACCAACAAGTCCGGATGAATTTTAAAAACAGTAGCAGTATGTATGTATGTATGTATGTATGTATGTACGTACGTACGTACGTACCGTATTTTTTGGATTATAAAATGCACCTGACTATAAGATGCACCTAAATTTAGAAGAAGAAGAAAAAAAAGTTTTTGGCTTCCGCGTGCTACATTTTCAGCCCTTTTTTGGGGCCTTTTTTCAACCCTTTCCCAGCCTTTTTTCCACCCATTTTTAAGAGTTTTTTCAGCCTTTTAAAAAGGTTTTTAGGCCCATTTTGGGGGCTTTTTTCAGCCCATTTTGAGGCTTTTTTGGCCTGTTTTTGAAACTTTTTGGGCCCTTTTTTCCAAAAGAAATGGCCCGAAAAAAGCCTAAAAAACGGGTTATAAAAAGTCTCAAAAATGGGACTCAAAAAGCGGCATGCAGAGGCAATAAATGTCTGGTGGGTGGGCGGGGCTTCGGCAATATTTGGTCTATAAAACACACAGACATTTACACTCCTTTTTGGGAGACAAAAATGTGTGTCTTATAGTTGAAACAATATGGTATTTATATGTATGCATATATTTATTTGTATCCTGCCTTAATTATTTTCCAAAATAACTCAAGGTTACAAACATACCGTGTATAACACCCTTTCATCCTATTTTCTCCCAACAACAACCCTGTGAGGTGAGGTGAGCTGAGAGACAGTGACTGATCCAAGGTCATCCTGTGCTTTCATGGCTATGGCAAGACTAGAACTCACGGACTCCCACTTTCTAGCCTTCTGCCTTAAACACTAGGCCAAACTGCTCTAGATTATAAATAAACTATAAATATAAATAGATTTATATTATAGAATTTATAATCAATGAAATGTCCTAAAACAAAAATCTTCAGGGATTAAAACATGTAGCACTTACCTCCAATAGCTTTAGACTGGCAATTAATAAATTCTGGCTTTTTGTCTGTAAGATACCGCTGACAAGTATGATGGAGAATTTGAAAGAATGTACATTTCTCAGAGGATGTACTCGCCACCCACTGGTCAAAAGCATTTTCAAACAACAAATCAAATTCTGGGGAATCCTTGAAAGAAAAAGATCAGATTACCAGGGAAATATTTTAATGTTACAAAGGCTTACTTGCTATATTAGATTTTCCTTTAACAACACACTAAAACATTATGCAAAAGTTCATAACCAACTTTTGTACAATAATTGTATTATATAATAGTTTTAATTCAATGCTATTATAAAACGCTATTTGAAAACAAATAGGTAATTCAATAGCAGCTGGAAGGCAACCATTCTAAATGTAATACTGGAAACAAAGATTGAATCTATCTGGCTCTGAAATAATCTGTTGTCAAGTTACAAGAGTCCATTTCAGAATGTATTACATGGTCACACTGCTGGAAGACAGCATGATAAAGAATCTTCTATTATTCTGGATCCCTGAAATATTTTTGAATTAGTTTCCATAATCTCCAAACATAGATCATACTGACACGTTATGATGAATGTTTTAGTCTTGAGTTTCAGGTGGTCAATAGTAGGTGCTATTTTTGCTAATCATTTGGAACTCCGAGAATCTGCTCTTGAAATGAAATATGTCTCCTGCTAATAAATTTAGGATAGATAAAAAGGAAGTTTTCTTTGCCTCTTTATAAAAAGATAGACATTTGGGACATGGCCAGAGTGAGGACAGAAAGCTTTGCAAAGGAGTAGAAGGGAGGAAAAAGCTCAGTGATCATTCTTTTCCATTGTGAGAAACCCAGGCTTTGGAACTAGTTAAAAATGTAGCACCTATCTATCTTTTAGGTCAACCAAAAAAACAAACAAACCATGTTTATAAATGTAACTGGTAAAAAGATAAAAGTAAGAGAGAAACTGCTTTCCAGTTTTCACTTCATTGTATATCACTACCTGCCTGTTGGGTACATGATAAAGCTTCATACCCAATACAATGAACTCTTACAGATCAAGTCTGTTCCATTGAAACTAAGGTGACAAATACTGAGAATCAGAGAGATATGTAAACAAGATTCGAAAGCTTTGTCCCACTTCCAGAATGTTAGTTTAGAGAGTCATAGAAATGACCCAGTAGAGAATTGTAGAACAAAACAAAAATATATGTTAAATCCAAGAAACAGAGGAAGAAACTCAGACTGGATCCACCCTAATCCAATTTGGTGTAAAAGGGAGGAAACGAAACAGTCTGGCTTTCAAGATTCTCTTAAGATAGCTGAAATAATTAAAATTTTGGAGTCAGTTTCCTGAAGGCCTATTTCTACTAACTACCTACTAATAGATATTCCTTGTTACGGAGAATCTCTTTGGGAAATGAAGTTATCATTTCAAGGATAAAAGATGGTCCCACAAAGAAGTTTGTCTGTCTGTCTTTCTGTGTGTGGGTATACATGTGTGTGTGCATGCTGTATGTGCCTTGGCTGCCTGGAATAGTTCCTGCAGTTTTCTTGGCAAGATTTTTGTTAAGTGATTTGCTATTGCCTTCTTCCTAGGATTCTATAAGAGAGTGACTAGCCCAAGGTCACACAGCTGGCTTCATGCCTTAAGTGAAACATGAACTTACAGCATCCTAGTTTCTACCCTAATGCCTTAACTACAGCACTGAACTCTTTCTTCTGATAAGAGGAATCTGATATTTAGGCAATAAACTCATATTTGCTCATTCTGCTTCCAAAATATTCCTCTGGAGGCAGTGGCAGGTGATTCATTAATCATTTCGTGAAAAACATAAATATATAAGTTTGTGAGAAGTATGAAGATGACCCTGAAGCTTGTCTGGCTTGTGAAAAAGTGATCATACACTGTATATATGTAAATCTCTGGATACTGGAGGAAAATGATCACTGATGTGGTCCATGTTAATATCAATACCATTGTACAATATAGTTGGCCAGTCTTGGAAGCCAGAATTAGATTGTTTGTTAGCAGGCTGATGTTTGGAGCTATAAATGTAGCATTCTTAAAAATGTTCTTTGTTATATGGACAAAGCCAGTTAGATATGCAAAGATGAGAAATTTTCAGTGAGTGAGTGACACACTGGTATAAGGTACAAAGACTTAGATTCATAGTGCTAAACACTATGAATCTTTGAAGACAGGCCAACCCTATACAATAGAGATGGGCTTTGTTGAACCCAAATGAAGCTAGCCTGGTGGTCAAAAATATGACAGAGCAACTTCTAAGCTGACTCTATAGGAACAGGGGTGTCAAACTCAATTTCATTGCGGGTCGTATCAGGGTTGTGATATGCCCCCTGGTGTGGGGGGCAGAGTGGGCATGGCCAGCTCAATGTCATTTGTGTCGGGCGCGCTTGTGGTGGCCTGAGTGCTCTGTCAGCAAAAATGGGTTCCTGAGCTCCATTTTGGCTGTGACGGCCTCCTGCAACCCTCTGCCAGAAAAAATGGAGCTTGGGAGTGCTGCCCATCCTTGTACAATGGAGAGAATCAATGATATGTATTAATTCCTGGATATAAGCATTATAGAAATGATAGGAAAGAGCCTACTAGTTCTGATATAGTATAAAGCAGCAAACTGAAGAACTCAAGGATGTAGAGCAACATTATAGAAAACAGTAAGAACTTTAAATATAGTCAGAACAAAGAAGTGCCCAGGGAAATTATTAGACAACAAAAACAACAAAAGGGATTCAAAGTGGCCATGAGAATTGCAAAGAAATGAAACTAATTTCTACATCCATCTTTTCTGTACATATATAGCACAGATATTGGAGCTTACATTGATTTTCTCAGAGAAGTAATTGGAACAAATAAAGCAAAGTGAGGGAACAATTCTAGGGCATCTCGAAAGACAGTTACAAACCACCAGGTTCTGACTGCACTCAATGGAAGGTTTTTAAAGAATTTAAATGTAAAACTATTGATCTCCCAACAGTCAACTTGTACCTTAAATCAAGTCTCAGTACCAGGGTAGAAGATCAGTATAGCACCAATTTCTAAAGTGATCTGTTAAAATCTTTCAAGCTATAGGCCAGCCATTTTAATATCAATTCTGAATAAATTGGTAGAAATGACAAACAAATTAAAAATAAATAAATATTTGAAGAATCAAAAAATTACTAAAGGAAAATTAGCATGGATTTTGCAAAGGCAGCCCTGTCTTGCCAATATACATTTAGTGCCATTTGGCATTAAATGAAGTAGACATTCTTGAATGTTCATAAACCTTTCAAAGTTCCTTTCCAAGGATCTTGAGTAAACTGGACAGTCATGGGATCAGAGAATGTGTCCTTTTATGAATTACTAACTGGTTAAAAACAGCAACAAGTAGAAATACGTATTATTAGCCTCTATCCAAATAGTCCATTAGACTAATTGCTTACTGGATATAATAAAGTGATAAAATATATAATAATTTAGAAAGAAACCAAGAATATCTGGAATCATTACTCAGGATCTTGAGTAATAAATATTTATGACTATCATCTCAAAATATCCATTACAGCACCTATTTTTTTAAAATAAAATCAAAGCAATTGCCCTTCTCCACATGTACTAATGATTGAACTGTTCCCAAAAAAGAAAGGATGAAGGCAGTCTGGGCAATCATAAGAAACAACAGACAAGTAAAAGGACCTTTTAGCATCTCTATTATCATATACTTACCCGATGAGGATCTAATCCATTAACCTGGCGAAGCTGTTCAAGCATCCATTGTGACCTTCGTGCAAAAGATGTAGTACCTTCAAATTGTTTAACTTTTGTAATATATGCTTGTGCAGGTCTCTTGTTTGTCACTGTAAACATAAAACAAAAAAGGATTGTATATAAGCTTGCAAATGTCTTTGAGAATTGCACACAAGCTTAAAATAGTTTGCTTATAAAAGCAACATTTTATCAGTTCAGTCAATCATGACAAACACAGCTAAAAATATAATAATGTAATTTTTATTTTGGGGGTTGGATAGAAGTTGGGTATAAGTGTTATATTTGTGTATACATTACAGAATTAAATACAATTTTATCTGAAAGAACTAATTATGTTTATATAAAATATTCTTCATAGTGCTTTTTATTATATTTGACTTTTTCCGGATTATAAAGTGCTATTTATTATCTTTATAATTTTAAAACAACTTACAATTAATCACAAATTCATAAAAAAGCTAGTAACATCTTTATTTTTTAACCTCTGTAAATTAATAAACCTGGGGGGAATAAAAAACTTAAAAATCTGAATGCTAATGTCTAATGAGCCTCACTATAGTCTTCTATAATGAGGTATCATTTCTAAGCCAAAGAAAGCAAGCAAAAACACAATTATATTATTTACCTGCATCTGCAATTCTTTAGAAAGCAAAATGTGAGTTCACATTGCAAAATTGTGCCTTTGTGCAAAACCTTAATTGGATTTTTCTAATGCATACAGAATTGTTGGGGAAGTCTTAGATTCCACCTGTACCAGACAGCTCAATTAGTCTCCTGCCAAATCCCTTCAACTCCTAAGATTGCTAAAGTACATTTGTACAAAGTGTAAGGTCATTGGAAGAAGACAACGATGAGTTGTGTGAACATCACCCCTTGAAAAACTGCAGTTACAGGGAAATAACCAGGTCTTCACCATTGTCTCTTTGACTCACACACAAGCAAATACATAGTGAGTTTTATCCTTTTTACAAGGATGGCTGCTTGTCATAACACAACAAAAGAAAGGATACCCCTTCCAAATGTTACTTTCTTTGGAAGCATTGGCCAATGGCTGCAGCATTTTGTGAATGTCGTGGGCTGAGTCCTTGTTGCTATCTGACAAAGGGTAGTACTCCAATAAAATTTGTTAAAGTTGTAGCTGTTGAAGTATGATCAGTACAGATTGGAAGTGGGTGTAAAGGTTTGACCAGCGCATAGCAAAACTTGTTGCTTGTCACCATCCATTTGGAGAAATACTGGCAAGATCAACAAACACACAAAGAGTGAAGCCTTGTTTTCAATTATGTTAAGGGCTGGGGAAATAGTATGACATTCTGATTCAAGCAGAACATTGAATCTGATCCTGGAAAGAAGGGCATAGGGTTATTTGACTCCTATGAAAAAAATAAAGGAATGAAGATTTTCTTGGTAAGGCACACAAATTTCCTATGTTATCAGGTACTTTTTATAAGCAGTGAATTAGGGCAGCAGTCATGGGTTCAAAAAGCATTAACAGAAAGAACGAGGGCACTAAGGGATAAAACTCTACCTGTCTTTTAAAAAATTATCCATTAGTAAGTTAGAAGAAAAAGTACATCCTGATAAAAGAAGAAAAAGAAAGATATGCTTAAAAGAATATGTAAGAATGAGTAAGCCTCACTTTTTACAAAATGTGAAAGAAGTGTTATCTCTTGCCCAATTATTTTCATGTTTCTTTGTCATTGCAGGATTCCTGAGAAGCCTACCTAACCTGGAAGGATTGTGGAATTCTCCAAGATGTAATGAGAGCTATAAGGTCTGAGTAAAAGGCTTTTCTTTGATGGATGGAAAGGATATTGAAATTGAGAATAGGACAAACTATAGCTACTGATGCTCCTAAAGTGTGCTGAGCTGGTTAGACTTTTAATGATCAGCCAGGAAGAGAATGATCTACGGTTGGTCTGAAGATGAAATGACAGATGCAACAATGCCATATTTGTACTGTAAAGTGCAAAAGAAGGATGGCCTTTGGGCTGACTTTTTGTTTATATATCAGATTATGTTTATAACTTTGGCAATCTGACCATGAAGAGAATCTACTCAAGAGAAAGACTTGTAGTACCTTCAAATTGCAAGAAATTGGAGTTTATTCATATGTCTTGATGCTTTATGCTTGACACGGCACCTCAGTGGCAGAGAGCTTGAACTGAGTTTCCCCTCTGGATATGTCTGATTTAGTAGTGAGAATAAGTGTCATGTAAGAAGGCATGAACTGAATACCTTACACAAGATTATCTGAAAACAGCTACTGGCGATTCCAGGTGGAACAGAGCAAAAAAAAACCTATGTTATTGGTGTTGGAGATATGAAACAAAGTTATCACATCTGCAACAAGCACATCAGAAAAATATGAACCAACTGAAGTCATAGTCAACTGTGTGTGTGTGTGAGAGAGAGAGAGACAGACAGACAGACAGACAGAGACAGAGAGAGACAGGGGTGGGGAGAGACAGACAGACACTTCTTGGACTGAAGAAAGGCCAGATATTAACATAGCCAAGAGCCAAGGTGGCGCAGTGGTTAAATGCAGCACTGCAGGCTACTGCTAGATCAGCAGGTCAGCGGTTCAAATCTCACCGGCTCAGGGTTGACTCAGCCTTCCATCCTTCCGAGGTGGGTAAAATGAGGACCCAGATTGTTGGGGGCAATATGCTGACTCTCTGTAAACCGCTTAGAGAGGCCTGAAAGGCCTATGAAGCGGTATATAAGTCTACTGCTATTGCTATTGCTATTGCTATAAGCCATTTTAGCAGAGAGGAGAAGATGAGCAAGATGCCATGACAGGGATGACAGACAGTATTTGGATTCACTGATTGAACAATTAGAAAAACTTGATATTTATTGATCTAATGATTCATGCTAGAAAAATAGGATGGCCTGGTAACTTCCAGTCCTAGGGAGATTTGACCCTTGAAACTAGTTTTGATTTTGAGATGATTGATATTTAGCACTACTGAGAATGAGTCTTCTCCAGTGTGGTGTTTGCAGCAAATTCTGAGACATATGGACAACCCCAAAAGACTACTTGTAATAAAAGGCCTGGTAAAAATTAAGAGCCTTTATAGTATTGAGAAAATGTAAAACCCTTTTCATCATCATAACTCTTTTGACAAATAGCTTGATTGCTTTCCTAGAAAAGCCTTCTATATATTTATAAACTGCTGATGGCATAAAAAAAATGAACCGACGCACAAGTATTTCATGCCTAAGTTGTTAAAAAGGGAAATGATGACTATAATTGTTTACATTTTATTCCCCAAAAGACCTTTAGGTTGAACTGTAAAATCAGAAAAAGTCCCCATGGTATGCTCTGCATTTAGCTTTTTATTTTTCTCTTTTGGTTATCAAGGGAATGAAAAATCATGAATGCTTTGCTTACATAAAAAGCTGAATACCGACATTACTACAAACACCCCAATACTTATTAGCTTAAATCTTTAAAAAAAGCTTCCATTACTTCGTGCAAGACAGAAATTTAAAAAATGCTGTATTTTGCCATTTTAAACAGTGCTACAGTGACTAAAAAAAAGGCATGTCCTTAATTGAAAAAGGGGAGCATATTTTTGCCTATTTAAATCTCTTTTAATTTGAAAAGACCAGAATGAGAGGGATATAGGAGAAACATTGGTGCACTGAAAAATGGTTATAATAAAGCCTTCTATATTAAGAATCTCACCAAACCTTATAATTATGACAGCACATATATCTTCTTAGTTGCATTTTTATTCCTCTTACCTGGTCCTGAGCAAGTGAGTAATGAATGTAATGCTAGAGCAAAATAGTTGTGTGCTGAAATAATCTCATCTAAAGAGTATTGCAAAGTGAAGTAGAATATGCCTGTATAAAAAATCTTGGTAGAAAACAAAGATAAGCAGCTTCATGTTCTCTAGATGCTTTTCACTTCAATTGCCATCAATTTCAACCAGCATATACAATAAGAAGAGTGTTCCAAAGGTGCTTTTTAAAGAGGAAACTGGATTTTTCAGAAAGTCCAGTTGCCTCTTGAAAAAGCACCTTTGGGACAACCATGACCTAGATGATTGAGAATCTCCATAAAAGATAAGAAGAGCGAGGAAAACATTTGGAGGGTATCAATTTAGTATTAACCACAAATTGTTAACTAATATGATTTCTGGGTAACATTTCTAGAATACTACAGGTAGTCCTCGACTTATGACCACAATGGATCCCAAAATGTATGTTGGTAAGTGAGACATTTGCTAAATGAATTTTGCCCCATTTTACAACCTTTCTTAACGCATTTGTTAAGTGAATTGTTCCAGTTGTTAAGTTAGGGACATGGTTGTTAAGTGAATCTGGCTTCTCCAATGATTTTGTTTGTTAGGTTAGGTTAGGTTTATTTCATTTATATGCCACCCTATTCCCGGAGGGACTCAGGGCGGCTAACAAACCCAGGGGAGGGGGGTAATACAGACAAGGCAGAAACAACAAACAGGATACAGAGAAAATTTAAAAACAGTCAACAGTCACACAATTCGAGCGGGAAAGGAAACTCATCAACCCCAGGCTTGCTGGAACAGCCAGGTTTTAACAGCTTTACGGAAAGCCTGAAGGGAGGTAAGGGTCCGAATCTCCGCGGGGAGTTCGTTCCAAAGGGCGGAGCAGCCAGAGAGAAGGCCAATCAACATTGGCCGGTAGATGGAATCCGGAGGAGGCCTAATCTGTGGGATCTGATGGGTCTTTGGCAGGCGGTCTCTCAAGTACCCAGGTCCAATACAATGAAGGGCTTTATAAGTGACGACTAGC